GGAATTTTTTTAATGGAACTATTGTGGATTTTCATGGATTTTTTTGGCGTTTTTTGGGGATTTTTTTTACTTTTTTTTTAATTTTTTTAATGGAATTATTGTGGATTTTCATGGAATTTTTTGGCGTTTTGGGGAGATTTTTTTTACTTTTCATGGAATTTTTTTATTGGAACTATTGTGGATTTTCATGGGATTTTTTGGCGTTTTGGGGGATTTTGTTTATTTTTATTGGAATTTTTTAATGGAATCATTTGGAATTTTTATGGAATTACTTTGAATTTTTATGGAATTTTCATGGAATTTTTTTTTGGCATTTTTTGGGGATTTTTTTTACTTTTCATGGAATTTTTTTAATGGAATTATTGTGGATTTTCATGGGATTTTTTGGCATTTTGGGGGGATTTCCCCGGAATTTTGGCGGAATTTTTTGGGGTTTTTTCCCGGGAATTTTTTGTGCCTTGTTTTTCCCGGCCGTTCCCGTCGGGAATTTTGGGAATTTTTGGGAATTTTGGGCATTTCCTGGTGTTTTTTCCGTCCGCAGGTGAATCACACGGTGGCGCTGAGCACCCTGGGCGAGTCCAATTATCATTTCGGGGCCACCTACGTGGGCACCAAGCACCTGAGCCCCACCGAGGTGGGAATTCCGGGAATTCCGGGAAAATCCGGGAAAAATCCGGTGAAATTTGGGCGAAATTCAGTGAAAATCCAGAGAAATTTGGGCAAAATTTGGTGAAAATTCGGTGAAATTTGAGCAAAATTCGGTGAAAATCCGGTGAAATTTGGGAAAAATTTGGTGGAAAGTCGGGATTTTTTGGGGGGAAATTCCAGGAAAATTTGTGGAAATTCAGGAATTTTGGGAGAATTTGGGGAAAATCCGGTGAAAATTTGGTGAAATTTGGGTGAAATTCAGTGAAAATTCAGTGAAATTCAGTGAAAATTCAGTGAAATTTGATCAAAATTTGGTGGAAAATCGGGATTTTTTTGGGGGGAAATTCCAGGAAAATTCATGGAAATTCAGGAATTTTGGGAGAATTTGGGAAAAATCCAGTGAAAATTTGATGAAATTTGGGAAAAATTCAGAGAAAATTTGGTGAAATTTGGGTGAAATTCAGTGAAAATCCAGAGAAATTTGAGCAAAATTTGGTGGAAAGTCAGGATTTTTTGGGGGGAAATTCCAGGAAAATTCATGGAAATTCAGGAATTTTGGGAGAATTTGGGAAAAATCTGGTGAAAATTTGGGGAATTTTGGGCAAAATTCG